TACCCTTCCAAAATATTATCATCCTTAAATTCTCTTCTAAGTGTGTGAGCTGTAGACTCCCTATCATGTTGGCAGTGAGTAGTATAACGATTAACACCAATTAATCGTCTCACTACACATAGCCTAAGATTGGCCTTTACTAAGGCATCATGGCCACCCAATAGATAGAGATTTAGTGAAACTGCAACCTGTCAATAGTATGGTTACCATGCAATCAAATATTTTCATCATACATAACTTCTAATACCCAAGATGTCAAAGAGAACAACTCAAAATAGTCCTTTAGATGTTAATTTTATGTTAAAAAGCATAAAATCTAACTAAGGGCAAAATAGTCAATTCATTTGTAACGGTATGAATCAATTATCCATAAAAGGATATTAGAGGCAAAATAGTCATTTTTCCTATGGATAAGTATTGCAAAGGTCAAGGATGAGTAGGCTTCATTGCATTTAATGGCATTAATTAAGTAATAATTATGTTTAGAGCCAAATGACCAAAATGCCCTTATATGAAGAATTAAGGACTTATGAGTTATACAATTAAAATAATTGGGCCAATAGCACAATTTTGGAAAATTAATGAAATATTTTCCTATAAATGAGAGGAAATTCGTTCAACCCAAAAGAGATATCATTTCTTCAACCTTTCTTCCATTTTCTCTCAATTCTTCCATGAAACAAGCTTTCTCTCTCTATGTTTTAAAGGAGTTTTACATAATTTTCCAAGGAGAACAAGATAGGAGCCTTGGATCTTCAAATTGAAGGGTTTAAGGATTAAGGTGTAAAAGAAGATAAAGGCAAAGGATTTGGTGGGGGAATTCTTTAAAAAGGTAAGTAAGAACCTCCCATGACTTTAGGGATTATGCTAGGGTTTGTAGATTTTAATGCAACCTTAAATTAAGGCTTTAAGACATAGATTAGTTGATGGCAAGTGTAGTTGAACTCATTAATTTTATTTATTGCATTGAATTCATTATACATGAAGTTATTGCCATTTATGTTTTATTAGTTGTTATGTTTAATTGAAGAAAATGGAGTATTGATGTTGATTGTGGCAAAACTTGGAGGCCACATGTTGTTGAAGGGTTGCTATTAGAAGTGTTGATGTGTTTTTTGCATTAACTTACAATGTTATAGTAATGATGGATGATCATGGGAATGAGTTTTTACACTTCTTTTAAGATGTTAAAGACTATTAAGGGGAGGTTTAATTGATCTATAAGTTGACATATTTGTTCATTGTCAATAGAAGTTGATATGGCATGATTTAATATGAAAAATTCAGATTCGGCAATTTTAGGGGTTATGTTAAACACGCTTCAGTATTTGGACCATAACTTGACTTATAAAAATCAAAATGAGATGATTCTTGAAGCATTAGAAATTTAAGACATATTCCTATAACATTTATGTTTATGCCAAGAGCCAATTCGTTTGAGAAATGGATGGAAAATGGCTTGAAGAATAAACTTCTAGTTATTAAAGTTTAAGATTTAGCATGATCAATTCTTATGATTATGAATTGATTATTAATGTATTGTTGTAATTAGGCCATGTACTAATGTTTACCCATTAGTTAGATGATCTTTGAAAGATATACATGGTCATGGATGCGAATGCATGATGAATGTTATAAAATGGCATGAAGATGCAATGTAATATATGTTTCAAGATGATGAATGTGAGCAAGAGGTAATGTAAATGGATTGATAATCCATAGATGAATCAAAAGTATTAAGCTCACTAAAACATGTATTTACATGCCATAAAATGCTAGAGATAGATATAGACAGGATGAAAAACGCGTAAGCATATCCTTGTATACTGGTTGAGGAAAGATGAATATATGTTTTAGATGCTAAATAACAAGTAAGCACGCCTCCCGATGATATGAGCTCTAGATGAATTTGAGGCTAGAGGAAAGGAAAGATGAATATATGCTTTAGATGCTAATTAACGCGTGACCATATCCTCGTATTCCGGTTGAGGAAAGATGAATATATGCTTTAGATGCTAAATAACGCGTAAGCACGCCTCCCGATGATATGAGCTCTAGATGAATTTGAGGCTAGATGAAAGGAAAGATGAATATATGCTTTAGATGCTAAATAGCGCATAAGCATGCCTCTCGGTGATATGAGCTCTAGATGAATTTGAGGCTAGATGATATGAAGTGCTTAAGACACTAAGACAAGTTTGATCGGCTAGACGTAGGATGATTCATATGCATTTAGTTGCATTACATGAGTTATGATGTTATTTACGTTATGAGATGATTTGTACTCATGTTAGATGATATTTAGATGTTACGTCATGACATGTGATGTGTGTGCACTATGTTTACATATTTATTTGTATGTGTACACTTGATGTTTTATATGACCATGGGGAAGATGATGAAAAGTATGTGAGTTAGTAAAGAAAAGGAACCATACTTAGATGTTAAAGACGTGTGGTATGTGAATGAATGTGTTTGAATGAATGTTAAATAACATACCTGGTATTAAATGGATCATTCCTTACTGAGCGATTAGCGCTCATCCTTTCATGGTTGAATGTTTTATAAGTAATCCAAAAGCGAGGGATGCTGGATATAGCAAGGCTATGCTTGAGATGAGATAATTTATTATCATCTTGATATTTTATCTTGATGTAAATAATGTAAATGACAAATGTTTTTGAAACACCTTTTTGAAGCTTCCACCATATGAATGAAAATGACATTAATATGCTTTGATTGATTGATGCTCAAATGTATTTAAGTTTTTATTTTTATTTTTGAAGGTACAAATTTTCATCCTGTGGTACATCTTATAGTAATATTTCAGACATTATTATTATTCTTGCACAACTTTTCTAAATGCAACTCGTTCCCCAGACGTGAATTCTTTGGATTCTTATTGAGGGATATCCAGAGGGTACCTAATTGGGGAGGGGTTTTACATTGCTTATCAAGGTTGAGGCACAGAAGTAGTGTCAACCTCAGATGTCCTTGATCTCTTTGTATTCAGTTACTGGACTAACGACCATAATAGATTGGATTGAGCAACAACTCAATCCCACTGTGGCCACAAATTTAGTGTCGTTGCCATTTACCAAATTGATCATTGAGATAATTTCTCCCATACCTAAGAGTGATGAATTCTTTATCAATCCACCATAGTCTTGATACATTTCTCGATGTAGCCAATCACTACCGTTTTGATAGCTCTTAATATAACTACATTGGAGTAGTGTCAAACTACACTAATTGGTGCACAAGGCGCTCTAATGATCTCAAATATAAGGATCGCATGCACCACCATCCGTTAAAAGATTTATGCCATAAACACTAGGGTTACCATCTATGTGGAATCCTCTGGTGGGTCTGTCCGATGAACTCGCCTATGGCAAGCACCCATGTGTTACACCAGGTTGTCAGCAAACAATCTTGACAATTGAGATTAGTCACTGCCTTTTGATAGGGTCGTTCAACACTATAATAGCCTTACCATATTATCTGTGTCCTTAGTCAGAATAATACTGGGGCTACAGATATTTTTAGAATAGCTGCCATATGTGATCATAAGGTCCTCATTATCAAGATTTGAAACACTCAATATCCTCTTCACGGTTTACCATTCTAAGGACATACATCATAGCCACAATGAATATGAATTACATATTGTAGAAAATGCCTTTTTATTAATTACAAACATTATTATAAGAGTCAACATTTACAAAATGGATTGGCCCTAAAGCACCTACTCTAACACCCACCCCAAGCCACTGCTGGTAGTCAGCCACCACCACCGGCTATCGTCAGTAGTCGATAGAATGGCGTACGACTAGTTGTATATGGCCAGTCGTGTGCTGGCAAATCCATTTTTGGTCATGGATCATAGCCATTTCACGGCTAGATCTTTGGCCTTTTCACGGCCAGAGTGGCCAGATTTGTGGTCGTTTCACAGCCATATCTTTGGCAAGATCTCATCAGTCATGCGCCATTACGGCGATTGACGACAGTAGCCAACGGTGGTGGTTGGTGGTCAGTGATGGTCTTAGGTGGTTAGGGGAATTTTATTAACTTTTGAACTTTTTTGCGGTTGAGGTGTTTTATCTAAATTCTCAAATGTAAGGGGGTTGGATAATGGTTATTTGGTAGACATTTGAGGGCAACTATGTCTGAAATGGTATTTCATTAAGGGCAAAATAGGTATAAAAATCAGATTACCTGGTAATCTTTTAATAACACCTTAGGGGGAGGGTATCAGATTACCCCCTACATTACCAACATTAAACACTATTTGCAATAAAAGATACTCGTAATATTTTATTTCTTGCAAACCAAATAGCGGAATCTTGCAAAATAAACGAAGATTACCCTTGTTATTTTATATGACCCCAATCCAAACGCACCCAAAGTGATTACTATTGGTATTGGAGGATTACCAGAATTTTATATTACTTGACAACCAAACATGGTAATGTAAGTAATATAAGATGGCATGACTGGAGTAATGTCACATACTTCCCCTAAAGAGTAAAGATATGTTTACTAAATTACTAGTACAAGTTAAATTTATGAGTTTATGGCTTGGTGCAATTGCGATGGACAATGGCTGCTTGCCTTCAACGCCTTATTTTGTAGAATCTTACTTGGTTGCCTGGTTGCGGCACTTTGGTGTGGTAGTTGATAATTGAGAATTTGGAATATGGGGCGAATGTCATTGTTTTAAATTTTAATTAGGTTTTGGGTTTTATTTTTGATATAATGATATTATATTTCAGTTGTATTTTTAAATATTACTACTGTTTATATTTTATTTTAACCTAATTATTATTATATATCTACATATAATTTATATATATATTATAATTTAAATATTTTACATTTAATTTTATAATAAGGAATACAGCAAGTTTGAGGTGGGCAGTAATTAATCCATCGTTATTCATTTCAATAGGGGGTATAATTTGCTCCCCAAACTCTTTTTATTACTTAAATTAACTAATGTTTTAAAACTCGGCCGGTCGGATCAATTCGACTGTGACACAGTCGGTAAGCCAGGCCAATTGAGGCAAAAAACCGAGGACCTTAATCCACCCAGTTTAACCTGTGGTTGGATCGACGGTACTATAGCAAACCGCCAATCCAATCGGTTTTTCCAGTAAACCAGGCCAACAAAAAAAAAAAATCCCTTTCATTCCCCGAACCCAAATTCCAATGATTTTCACCCATTTCCCTTCGAGGCTTTGACATTTTCCTTTGAAAATCTTTCACCGTGACTCCCATTTGCGCAATTTCCTCTCTTCACCATCGATCTCCTCCTTTTCATCGTCAGCTCGCCAGGTACTGTCGTCTCTTCCTCCCATTTGCCCGATCTCCTCTCTTCAGTCTTGATCGTCGATCTCCTCCTCTTCGTCGTCAACTATAGCTCATCTTTGTCGATTTCCTTCGACATTTACGATTTCTTCTCATCGAGCTCTAACCCCATTTTTTCACTCTCCCATTTGCAATTTTTTCATTTCACCTTCGATTTTTCATTTCATCTGTCTCAAATTTTTCATTTCCACTTTTCCACTTCAACGACAGCCCACAACCTTTTTTCATCTTCATCAGCTCGCTTTCATCTTTGACAGCAGCTCTAATCGACATCAGGTACCAATAGGTTTTTCATCTTTTTCCGATTTCTTTCATCTTCATTTCATCTCTCTAAACTTTTTCATTTCATATCTTCATTTGTGTATCAGGTACCACTTCATTAGTTCATTACATATCGTCAGCTCCAATCGACGTCAGGCACACTTTTTTAGCTCTCTGTCTTTCGTACATGCACAAATACTAACCAAACTTTGTGTATATTTGATAAGAGCATGAGCAAATTGATAAAATGTTTTAATTTTAGCATTTGTGTCTTTCTTACAAAATGTATAATAGTCGATCAAAATGTATATTTGATACAATTATAAGCAAATTGTTCATGTTTAGAGTCTAAATTAAGGATTTGATAATAGTAATTTAAGGATTTGGCAACATTAAAATTTGGTGGAATGTCCCCGCTTGTGGTTTTTCTTATGTTTTTTTGCTGCCATTTGTCTTTCCTTGTACTTATGGGGTGGGTGGATGCTATTTGCTGCTGGTTTTTCTCTTGTCAGGTGCTGAGAGAGTGTCTCCAGATGTTGTGTTGTTTTGTTGGCTGCTCTTGCATGTTTTGTGGGCTTTGTGTCTGGGGAGTTTTGGCTTTGATTGTGTTCCCTTTGGGTTGTTTTTTATTGGTCTGCTTGTCTTATTTTTGCGTTGTGTTTGGTTCTATTTGCTTCAGTATTTTGCTTTTCTTTTGTGTATCTTTAAAAGGAGTTATGAAAAAGAAAAGAGGGGAAAATGATATGTGCTTTTTGAATCTCTTGATGGATTTGGCCATTGATTTTGTCTTTTTTGTTGTGCATATCAGGCCTGTTTTTAAAGGCCTAACAGGGCCTAATCAAATAGGTTGTTCTATAATTCAATTAGTTTAAAATGGGAAGTTTTAACTTATGTTTTCATTTTTTGATGGATTTTTTTTGTAGATGATGTTGATCATGTTAATAATGAAGATGATCATCTATCATATGGTGTGTGAAGTTCAATTGAGGATGGATTGCAGATCACTAGGTGAAGAAGACAATTTTTTGTTAGAATGTTTATTAATTATTACATGATTTCTTTATGAATTTTGTTATGTTGAGTTGTAATCAGTTGTAACAGGGATTTTATTGATGTTTGATGATGCATTGTTGAGGAAATTTTTTTTCAAGAATTTGTATTCTGGATTCTGGATTTTTTTTGTGGGTGTCATGTTGACGTTAGCATGACATCACCAATTGAACCAGCTAGTTCAACCGGTTTAACCGGTCGACTCGGGACCCAGTCAGTTTGTCGGGTTTCACCCCGAGTTGGTTAGTAAAACATTGAAATTAACTCCCCTATCATCATCCCCAATAGAGACGTTAACAATACCTAAATGGCTAAACCTGTGGGATATTCTGTCATCCTCATAGGCCACCCTCCTGTGAATTTATGCCCCCTTCAATTTTTTTCTCTATTTGATAATCTTAGGATTATACTATTTTCTTTATTACTTTTGTAGGATTTCGGATACTTCTTACGAGTTTTGTGCCTGAATTATTACTTAATTTTGCATATTTTACGTTTCATGCCAAAACGTATAGTTGGAGCAAAACCAAGCAAAAAAGAGTTTCTGGACCCAGAATCGAGAAAAATTCAGAAGATTAGGGGAATTCTGATGCTGATTGGAAGCACCCTTGGAGTTTGTTCCTATTGGGGATCACGAAGATAGAAAATTCAAGCAAAAAAGTAAGGCAGGGCAGTTCCGTAAATTCAGCAAAGAAGATCAGGAGTTTACCGCGGCACGGTTTTCTTTTCGCAGTGACAAGCTAGCCTTTGGACGCATGGGTCAATGAAATTCAAGTCGATGCCACGGCAAAAAACTGCATTTTTAGTTTTTGTTAAAACGCTGCGTTTTTCGATTATTGTATTAGGTCCTAGGGTTTGGGCCGACTATGTAAGAGTAACTTAGCTCATTTTGAGGGGGGAGCTCGACATTTTGGGAAAGAGGGAGAGGAGAAGAAGATTTGAAGAGTTGGATCTCCAAAATTAGAGAAGTTTCTTTTCCCTTTCTTGTTTTTATGATGTTGAACACTGATTTTGTTATGTATTTGATATTTATTTCCATTTTGAACATGAACTAACTCGTTTTTAGGTTAGGGTTTTGATGGATCTTTGTTTATAATGGTTTGATCTATAATATCTTGTTGTCTTTGAGTTCTATTGTATAGATTAAGTGTTTAACTTTGTTCTTAATGCATTTGATAGTTGGGTTTTTGAATCAAATGAACATTGAGCATGATGAGACTGAGAAGTTATTCATGTATTAGCTTCTTAAGGTAAACACCATAGATTGAGCGAAAACTAGAGATAGACAAATGCAATCTATGAAATCTTTATGGGATTCCACTTGTTTCAAGGACTTTGAACTATTAAATTTCATTTTGTTGGATGCGGAAGTTTAATAGGGATAAGTAATAATTTATAGCCTGAAAATGTATATTTTACAACTTAGGGAGCCCGATTTGTAATCCGTGCATGTGAACTTGAAGATGATAGGATTAGTAGGTTGAATTGGAGTAACTTAGTGAAATCGAAACCCTAACCTCTCTTCTTGAATTGTATTCCGTTATTAAATTGCTTTTATTGTGTTAATTTTAGTTGTCTCTTTTGTTTTGTTCTAATTTAGTTTTTAGTAGGTCCTGCAAATCCGAATTTTTGTGTTCTTCAATTAGTTATAAAATTAGAAAAATCAGTACTTAGTACTCAATCCTGGTGGGAACAATATTTGACTCATCATTTTATTACTTTTTGTGACTAGTGCACTTGCTAAATGTGCATGTTTGTGAAAGTACGCATCACTATTCTTAATCTATAAATTACTTTGTTAGTAGTAATTATTAAATATAAAGTCATAAACTACTTGGTATCTATGGACTGTGTTTTGGTATACATAGACTTTCTCCCATTTCTAATGCAACAAAAGCATAAGGACATGAAGAAATGTTATATTGTTTTGCTCGTTTTCATCTAATCACAACAAAAATCAAGCTAATATCTTTGAAACTTTGTAGCCTCCTTCGATCGCAATTTAATACTTCAAGATGAATCCCATGCTACTATTCAAATTCTCAGACACGGCGCATACAGTTTGGACTTGACTGACGTTAACCTCAGTCTCATCAAGTCAATCGTACATCATTCTCTTTCATCCTAATTTCTTATTTCACCTTGATCTCATATCTAAATAGGATTCTACCCCATTTAATAAAGAGTAACGCTAGGTCCAGAACCCAATCTCATATTCTTCTCTCATAACCCCCACTGTGGTAGCTCGTTATCGGTCAGCTCGCAAAATGGGTCTCACCTGCTTGTATAGGTCTTGCATGCCCATTTGCGAGCTAATCAATGACGAGCTGCCACATTAGGGATTTTGAGTCGGGTTATCAAACGAGTCAAGTAGTTCGCGAGTGGCTAAACTCAACTCATTTGAAGCTCATTAAAGGCTCAACTAGACTGCTGTCAAGTCGACTCGGCTCGAACTTGGGTAATAGAACTAGTCGAGTTCAATCCTTGGGAGCCGGGGGGGGTCGTCTCGTAGGCTTGCAAACCTAGGGTGGCTCGCATAAGTAAGGTCATTTAGTGAGTTTTATAAATCATGTGGGACTAAAGTGTTATATTGAAGTTTAAAAATAAAATAAAAAATGACATTTACCCCCCTAAGTGCAAAATAGTAAAACACAATTCTAACACCCCCAAATCGACCAACTCACAAACAAAAACCCTAAACCCTAAACCCCCAAAAGTGGAAATATATCCATTGTGAAATCAGTCGACTTCATCCCCTGTTCTTACTGTTGCCGATCAATTGACAACATGGAGGAATCACGACGTCATCCCCCAAAGTGCAAAACCAATTCTTCTCCTCCAAATCGACCACAAAATCTGCAGGAGGAAGCACAATGAGTAAGTAATGAAAACTCACAAATTCTTCTCTAAAAACTTACACGAGCTCACAAGCCGGGTCGAACTCGCTCGTCTGGAACGAGCTCGAGTTGGAGCACATTTTCCTTGGCTCAACAGGCTCAAGCTCAAACTCGAGCTCGACCCTATAGCAATCGAGTCGAGCTTGATAAGCCGAAAGCTCAGCTTACCTCGATTACAATCCTAATTGTGAGAGAATATTGTGGACCTAACATTATTTTTTAATAAATATGCTAAATTATTCCTATTTTATATAAGAAAAATGCTACACTCACAACATTTTCTCACAAACTTCCTCTTATAACCCCAACGTGACAGCTCGCAATTAGTTAACTCGTAATGGGTTCCACTTGATAAATTACAACTAACCAATTGCAAATTACCACATTAGGGTTATAAAAGAAAGTTTGTAAGAAGAAGTTATGGGTGAATCATTACTCTTGATATAATGCCAAATTTGAGCACTAATTTTTCATTATGGTACGGTGGAGAGAATTTTTTGCTGGTGGTGAAGACTAAAGAGTTGTTGTTACCAATGGTGATGTTTGGAGAGGGAGGATGGGAGCACCATTCATGGAGTTGGATTTTTATTTTTATTTTATTAAAGTATTATTAGTTACAAAAATTAGTAGACAATTACTTTTTTACCCTCTTACACTAAAATCGGAATATTTTACTTAGTCAGAGAACATTTTATATGGATTAACCTTTTTGCCGTTTGTATATTTATTGTCTACACATTATAATGTTTGATAAATGGTAAGGGGATTACGATAATTCCTGATACCCTCAAAAGTTTAGGTACATAAAGAGAAACCAAGGGGGTTTAGAACTATTATCTCTAGATTTAATTCTTAAAAAGGACAAGAAGGTAATTTAAAAACTCGAAATCTTTCATTAAATATCTATAAATTCAAAAAAGGTTTTACAACTATAATTAAATTTAACTAAAAATAATTTTAAAATTTAACAATATAAAATATAAAAGAAAAAAATAGGCTAACGATGTAAACACCGACGATGCCGACACTTCTTGCCATTTTCTAGCTTTGCTTGCCCACGACCCCACCCTATCTTAGCCTGGACAAATAGAGGCTAACGATTAGGACAAAAATCTGGCCATGCCAACGGGTTAGCCTCTATTTGGCCAGGCCGAGCCAAGCAAGCTAACTAATGGCTAATGATGCTAACCTCGTGGTTGGCCACCTTTTTTTTTCTTTTTTTTTTTTTTTTTACATTTCTAGTTTTATATTTTTATATTTTTATTTTTTAATTTTAAATGTATGAATAGTTGTAAAATATTATGATATTTATCTTTTTTAATTTTAAAATATTTGAAATTTCTAATAATTGAAAATATTAAAAAACATTAGTTAATTTTTTATGTTTTCAATAAAATTATTGTAAGTTTAATTTTTTTTCAATTTTTATAAATAATCTGAATTTAATGTTTTCCTTCAAATATTTGTTAAGGGTCATTTATGTCTTCCAATCATTTTCGTTGAATTTAACAGAACAAAAAAAATTCCCTTTTATATGTCTAAAACTTATACCTTTCTTGATTAGCTTTGAAAAAAGTGTTCACAATTGATAAAAGCACTTTTTTAATCAATTGAAACATTTTTATTTAGACAAAAAGGGTAAAAAGGGTATTTAATTGCTCTAATGGTGTCGGATGCGAAACTAACTGTGGGGGTTGAGAGTCATAAATTAGGTCATACCTCAATGGATTTAGGTAAATTCTCTTTCTTCTTTTCTTTCAAAAACATTTGGATATGTTTTATTGGTTAAAATATTGACCCCTAAATGCAATAATCATTTATCATTTCAATAGTACAAAATTCTTTTTGTTATTAGAAAACATTAATATATATTAATGTTAAAGAATAATAATTTTAACAATTTTATTTAACCCTTAAAATTAAATAATTGAGAATTTTCAATGTTTTTTTATGTATCACCCACGGGTATTAACGTCATTAACTCTGGTTTCAAAGTAACGACATTACAATACGGCTCTAGAAACTTGGATTCCTCATCCATTTCTAATGCCTCTGTGGCGTTTTGCTCATTCATCTCCGTCTTTACCATCACACCACATCAATTTCAATTAACGAGCAGAAGCACAAGAACAAGAAGAAACTTTAGATTTTTTTGCTCTTTTTCCCTAATCACAACAATCCAGAGCCGAACTCGAAACTCTCCGCGCTTTGGAATGGGACAAGCTCTGCAACACGTGTCCTCCTTCGCGCGCACTTCTTTGGGCCGGGAAGCCACCAAAGACCAGCTATGGTTCACCGACCAAACTATCAAGACACTTTAAGCTTCAACTGAAACCAATGCGGCCGTTCAAATTCTCAAACACGGCGCGTGCAGTTTGGATTTGACCGGCGTGACCTCAGTCTCGTCAAGTCTGCCGTACAGCATTCTCGTAGAGGTCTGCCGTTGCGTGGTGATGAAGCGCTGGCAGTTGTTTCTCTGTTGCAGTTTTTGGAAAATTTGCAGCTAATCTAAAGCTGCTGTCAAAGAAGATGCTGAATGGTACAGCGTTTCATGCTCTTTCTGAAGGTAAATTACTAAATCAGAAGATAACTTTGTTTCCGATATAAGGAATACAATAAATTGTATGAACAGTGTTTGATTGAATTTTTTCAAGAATTTTTTTTTTTTTTTTTTTTTAAATGAGAAATGGTGAGTTAAAGCTTTGTATATAGAATTTACGTATAATTTTATGTCATGAAAGCAACGTATAATAATTGTAGTTTTCATTTTGAAAATTCGGTGCATTTGTAAAATTAGTGTAAGGTTAGAGAACACAAAAAGTATATAATTGTTGTTTGATATAGAATTTAAATACAATTTTTTTGTCAAGCGAATGAATTTTTTTAAGAATTAAAATGTTCACAAAAACAGTTTGGATAAATACTAAAAAACTAGTGAAATCATAAAACGAGTTAGAGTTGTTTGGTTTTTATATAGATTTTGACTCTGAAAATACATTTTTTTATTATAATATCAAATTTATTACATATTTTTTAACATTATTTTTAGCCTTTTAGTTTCTGAAAACTAGTTTTTGATCATAAAGCAATGTCCTTATTCTTCAAATTTGTGCATATC